GGACTATGGTCCAAGTTTCCCCCCCCCCCCCCCGAAGAAGTCCCCGGCAAGGCATTTGGTCTGGGTGTGTCGTTCTTTTCGGTGGTGCCAACAATCGAGGCCATTCTATGTGCCCCCTACTTGGGTGTTCGGCCAAGTGAGCAAATTCTTGGCAATTTAGGCTATAAGACTTATCTGCCTGATTGGGTGGGGTTAATCCAGCCATGAGTGGGTTCTCTCCCCTTTGTCTAACCGGCTTGCTAACTTGGCCGAAAAGTAAGAAGCAGATGCACCCATCTCCCCTGGGCCGAGGTTTTGGGGTTTTGGGGGGGTGGCTTTTGCTTTCGCCGCAGGCCGGCGGCGCCGAGAAAAGCCGCCGGCCCATCGACGGCAGCTGGTGCCAGGTGCTCAGCTGGATCCACAGCATGCGCCGAAACCAGCAGCAGCCGGACATCGTCAGCTGCAACAAAGTGGCCGGAGGAGAGTCGGGTGTGGTTCTGTTTTTCTGAAGCCCAGGGAGCTGAAAGCAGGTACGGGCCAGAAGAAGATAAAGAAGAACAATATCAAAACTGCGACACAGCTTCCGGGCTATACCTTCAATGGCTTATAGTTGTTTGCTTTGATTATGAGCAGGTGAGCCGTGCTTGGCGGAAATGTCTGCCAGGAGAGTGGCAGAAGGCGTTCTCAATCCCGGCGCTGCGAAGGATGGCCTTGCAGCCGGACTTGGTGTCCTACACCTCCCTTGTGAGAGCTGGCACTTGGGCTGCAGCGCTGCAGGTGGTGCTTGAGCTGAGTGCAGATCTGCGGGCGGATGTCATCTTCATGAACGCAGCCACTGGTGCCCTGGAAGAGGCGAGCCGTTGGCAGCTTCCCCAGAATTAGCTCCCTTTTTGCTTTTTTTGCTTTTTTTGGGGAACCAACAAACTCTTCTTTTTTTTGCTGGGGTCCTAATTCCAGGCAGGAGGCGGGCACCTTGCTGGAGAAGCTGCAGGTGGGCGGTCTGGATGCTGACAACATCACGCTGAGTGCGGTGCTGGGCGCTTGCGGGAGGTGCTCAAAGTGGGAGCATGCGCTGACCCTTCCACCGGATGGCACGGTGAGCACCTTGACCGCGAATGCCGTGATCAGCGCTTTGGAGAAAGCCGGGCGGTGGCAATGGGCGCCTCGCTACCTTAAGGCATCCTTTGGTGTTTCTCGTGTCTATTTGTCTCTGGATCCCAAGGTCCCAAGGGCGCTTTGGGAATGTTCGATGATTGAATCGAACGGTAAGCCCCGGGCCTGACCATCGAGCGAGCGGGAATCATGCGCATATCCCACTCGTGATGTATGGAACGGGTACCTCCCTACACCCCTCCCCATTTTGTGCACAAAAGGGACATGTGTACCATTGTGTACCCTTCCGACCCCTTGACGGGAACCTGTTTTTTGGTTCCGGGATCCCTTATTTTGATACACAGCCAACGAGAAAACCGCATATATTTTTTTTCCGGGACCCCCTAGTTTTGATACAATGACATACACAACGCATGGAGGGGGGACGACAAACCCCAACGGCACGTTTTCCCCAGTTTGGCGGCCTGTTTTTTTTTTTTTTTTTTCCGGTCGCGCGGGCCTGGCGGCTGTGCGAGGCGCTGTCGCAGCTCGCGGGGCTCCAAGTTGCGCGCCTGGCGGACGTGGTCAGCTGCAACACAGCGCTCAGCGCCTGCCAGAGGGGCCAGCGCTGGAAGCAGGCGGGCGACTCAAATCGCGTGTGGCGCGTATTTGTCAGGAGACACCACCCTACTGTGGGTGGACGAAGTCCATTTCGCACCGCGAAATGAAACTATGGTTGAAACCATTGTATGGTTTTTTCAGGAGGATTATCATTCCAGGGTTACTTAGGTGGTGCAGGATTTCGTTTATCCACAGTATGAATCAACCATAGGATTTACCCTCACTCCCACGCTGCCTAAGACCTGAGCACCTGACTTCGGGGGTTCCTGCAAATCCGGAAGCTTATCTTCCAGGTATCCTTCCACAGGTGCTACTGTTGATGGACGAAAACCATTTCGCACCACCTAAGAAACCCTGGAAATGACTTAATTCCCTAACGTAAATATCAATAAACGTTGTGATTCAACCACGGTCGCAAAGCGGTGCGAAATGGATTTCGTCCATCCACAGTATGTTATTGGGAGCTTGCCGATTCAGGGTTGTTGACGAGCTCACCATGAGAAAGGTGTTTCTCTTTGTGGGATCTATTCTTAATTCAGCTTTTTGGGATATTAGCGGGATTTGTATTTATTTCCTGTGGCATTTTGAAAACACCGGTGACACCCCGCAGTTTTCAGAATGGCCATCTTCAAAATTGGGGAGCCCACAAAAGGGCTGGTGTCCTTTCCTTTGTGGTTTCCTTTTAAGGCGACCCCGAAAAAGCGCACCCTCAAAAGCAAGCCATGCCCAGGTGTTATGGCTGCTCCTTGCCTTTGACCCTGGCACGTTTTTTTTTTGCTGACGCTTCTGGACTTCTGGCTGACTCCCCGGCACCCTCCTGCAAACTTACATCGCGAAAAAGGGCGGTTTTCTTCAAGAGAAGATCCAGACAAATCGATGTGACGATTTCTCCTTCAGCCTACTTTGGCTGAGCTCAGGTCGCCCTTGTTTTTCTTCCTGCTTTTTTTGGTTGCATGCCTTGGCACCCTCACCCGCAGCCGCCCTGGTTTTCCTTTTCCTCTCGGCGGCTCCGGCCCAGCGGATCCGTCGAAACGAGGCTCGCGGAAGCCGAGACATGGGCGCTGGAGCTGGACGTCATCGGCTACAGCACCGCCATGAGCGCCTGCGATTGGCAACGGGGCCTTCTTCTGCTGGCGGAGCCGCCTGGGCTCAATGGCGGAACCCAAGGCTTTCCATGAGATGAATAGAGTGTCGATTTTTCCCTCTTGGTGTTCAAGGGAATCGATTTCACTCTCGGATTTCGTGTTTTTCCAGGGGGGCTTAAGCAAATGGAGGGTTGAGGGCGAAAGGGAAAGGGGAAAAGGAGCAACATGTCTTCAGAGCCGGCAGGATGAGCTTGGCCAAGGCATTTCCATCCGGGCCGCCAGTCCTCTCAAAAGGAGACGGGCCAGATCTCTTGGGCGGAGGTGCTTCCCAACTTGTTGGCAAGGCATCTGGTTCTTGGCAGCCCTCACTCCCCAGGACAGGATCAAAAGCAAGTTCTTAAGAAAGCCAAAACACCATACCAAGGACAGTGCGGATCAATGGAAACTGCTGGACTGTTGATTTGGGAGCTCAAGCCAGTGTCGAGGAGATGCCACGCATCAATTTTGGGGGAACACGCAGCCCCGAAGTCCACCAGCCTGACCCACAGCAGGGCATTGATTGATTTTGGAGGCTGCCCTGGCAAGCGCGGGGTTGAGGCTCGAGGTCGGGGCATCCCCCCTTTTTTGGGAGGCCGCCGTTTTGAGGGTGCCCGAATTTTCCACATACCCAGATCTCCCTTTGAGTGGTGATAGAAAACTGATTTTCGCCGTTTTCGCCAGCCCAGGATGCAGGCGGTGTTGGTGGAATGCAACGTCGTGGCATGCAACGCGGTGATGAGTGCATGCGAAAAGGCCGGGGGCCAAAGTCTTTGCTCCGCAGGAATTGGAGAAGCTCGTTTTTTGTGTTGTTTTTTGGGTGTGTGTGTGTGTGTGCTTGGGAACAAAGTTGTTTAGATGGTTGGACGCTGGAAAATGATGGGTGGACATGAATACCCATAGATGATAGTTCCCAACAAAGATTTGTACCAATTTGGGCCTGTCTCACAGTGGATTGGGGGGTGGGGGTCAAACAATAGGATCCATGGTGGAAAACTGCCATGGGACCAAAGAACCATGTCTGATACGTCCCTCGATCCGATCGAATCAAGTGATGTTCATCCCGACATTTTCCCAGCAATGGAACAAGGGCGCTTGAGGATGGTGGCCGCCCCTGTCGGCTTCCATCGAAACATACTTCACAGTTGGCAGACGCCCACCTTTTAGCAACAGCATATTCTCCCACCAATTCACATGGGACCTCATGTTCGGGGGGTCCTTTTCCTTTTAGAGGGACCAGGTCCCTGTCAGGATCCATGTAAAAAAGGTGGGAGGGTAGTTGCTGTTGTGGGGAGGGTGGCTCAGAGCAAACTCCTGGGCCAACAAAAGCGCAAAGGAGTAATCGAACCACGGCACCGGCATATCCCTGTCTGAGCAAAACAAGACGGGGGACTACTTCTGCGTTCAACTTGTTTGGTTCGCACCCCAAAAATCAGGAACTGACCACCGCCGGCTCAAACCGGGATTTGGAGGCGGGGCAGTGGCAGTTCGCCTGCCTCTTGCTCTCTTCCATGGAGCCGGACATCATCAGCTACAGCGCGGCTTGCAGCGCCTGCGAGAAGTGTGGGCGCTGGGAGCAGGCGGGAGCTGACGGTCGCAGCACTCCCGTGATTGGTGGAACCCCCATCCACGTTGCCATGGAGACTGACGGGGGGGGGGATGCTGGAAGACCTTAAAAGGGGCACTAGGTGAGTTCCATTTTAGTGGGCGGCAGGGTTGAAACAGGGGGAGAGCCAAACTGAGCCTTTACAGGGACAGCTTTGAGAGTGTTGCTATGAACTTCGATGCAGGCCCTCAAAGGAATGGTTGGCGGGCATGACATGACTGGCCCAAAACGGCCATTAACTAAACTGGCCTAAGGCAAGGGGCCTATGGTCAGGCCCTCTCGCTGTTGCACCAAGCCTCCGTTCAAAACGGACTTGACAGCGTGATCTTTGGGGCGGCTATCAGCGCCTGCGAGTGTCCTGGCAGGGGGGGGGGTGGTTTACCCTTTGCCAGGGTCCCTTTTCAATGAACATCGCCTTCCAGGAACTGCCGTGAGGTTCCATGTTTGTGGATGGCGGGGTGCCCATTGGATGTTCGGCATTGGTGGTCTTGCAACCATGTATGCATCTTCTATGTTTGGAGGCTCAAGGCCCTTTCTTGCATATTCTCACAGCCATCAGCTAGGACCGAGGACAAAAAAAAGGAAGCCATAGCTTACAGGATGGGAGCGTGCCCGCTGGATGGGTATTAGCGGCAAACACCACCTCTTCAACTCCGCTTTTGGAGGTCCCGGTTGGCAGGATGACGTCCTAAAAGGACGCAAGAACCACTGTTCAAAATACAGGTTGGGAAGCGGTTTGGCGGCGGTAGGAGGTGCCTGACCTACTGTTCTTGCTGATTGCTTCACTCTTTGTTCATCCAAGGAAAGGTCAGCGATGGCAGCACGCCTTGGCAGTATTAGGTGATGCGACTTCGCCAGACTTCACGAAACTTTTCGCCCTTTTGCCCTTTTGTTTCTCGTTATCCGTTGGACCCAGCACCAAGTCGTGGCTTTCGGGGTGAGTCGGATCGAGGCGAGTGATGCGGGGTGTGCCAACTTGATCACCTTCAACGCCTCCATCAGCGCCTGTGAGAAGGGCTGCTTCACTGCTTAGTCTTGCTGGCGCTCAGGGAAGGGGGGAATGACCCCGAGAAACACCGTCCAAGTGGTGGCTTCCTGTAAGGGAATCCCTGAGTTCATTCCCACATTCCCAGCTGAGCACCAGCAAGTACTGGTATTCTTCGAAATTTCCCTCCAATTACCCTCCCTGCAATTGACATAGCACCTGACGTTTGGGACCTGGTCCTTTTAAAAGGGAAATGGTCCAAACCAGGACCCCCCAAACGTCAGGTTCCACGTTAATTGCTGGCAGGGTATCAGTTCGCAAGAGTTTCCATGTAACTCCTTCCTTACTCTTCCATGTATTTCTTTGTTTTCCTGTTATCTGGTTTTTCAATTTGGCACTTTTTGGGCTTAGCGGTCTGCAAAAAGTTCACATTTCTGCGAACCCGCCCCTGGGCGGAGAACCCTTCCGCCGCATTCGGGGCTCCAAGGCTCGCAGTGGGTGGCGGCCTTGAGCCTCCTCCAAAGCCTCCGCGCGGCGCGGCTCAGCTCCGACGTGATCTCCCACAACGCGGCGCTCTCGGCGCTGCAGAAGGGCAAGCGCTGGAGGGAGGCGCGCGCCGGCGTGTGAGATGTGTGAGACCTCCCCCAAAACGTCCATCTGCTGAAATGAATATTTTAGTTTTTCCCCTGTTGGTTTAACATTTTAATACATTTTGTATTTTCCCCTGTTGGTTTTAACGGGAACCTATCACTACTGGACATATTTTTTCGCAGGGGACTTAAGCAAATGGAGGAAAAGTGGCAGCTTTTGCAGTTGGCAGTAGCCCGGCAGTGAATTGCAACTGAAGAAATCCAGTCCTGAAAAACGTGGAGAATGCGAGAGGATGCGGGAGGACCGAACAATTGGGGCGGTGCTTGTTTTGGGCTGGGGGGGGCGTGGTTTGAAAAGGGAACCCAATGGAATTCAACTGTGCCGGAGGTTCCCTCGTGTGCAGGCAAGCAGAAATCCATACTAGTCCTTCCGTGAGGAGTATGTGAGGGTCTTCTGTTCAAACCAAAGCTCACGGCTATGGTCCGCTGTAAAGCCGCCAAATGGCCTGTGCCGCTGGGGTGTGGCTTTTTTAAGGGTACCTCATCTTTGTGGGTTTGAAAGAACCACACCACGATGAACACCATTTTGAAGGGGTCCGAAAGACCCGCAAGTTAAGCTGGATGATTGGTTAATGGTTTGGTGTCGACCCGATACCAAACTAATACTTGTTGGGGGTTGTTGATATGCACGGGGGACATGTAAATGGGTGTATCTGTTTTTTGGTAAAAACCTTTTTGTTGGTTTCAAAGGGAAACAAGAAGAAAAAACAACGCCATTTTTACGGGGTCCCCTAAAAAAACACACCCAAATGCCGTTGGATCGTGACTCAGACATGGCAGGTGCTTCTCCTTTTCTCTCAGCTGCACTCAAAGCGGACGGCGAGCGTAATTGCCCACAGCAACGTGGTGCTCGCGTGCGATGGCCGCAGGCCGCAGGAGATTGGACCAGTTTTTGTCATGGAGGTTTGGCCCCGGTCGGAGAGCGAGCCGCCTTGTTGTTTTTTGTTGGCCAGTGGCTTCCCACACAGATGTTGGGGAGACCCGAACATGACAGAACTCTGATACAGGACCAAGTTTGTTACGACCAGATCCTGGTTCCAGTGAAAGGTAGCAGAGGATTTGGCAGAATGTTGGGCAGAATGTATTGCAATCAGCCACTGTCCCCTTTTGCAAGGGAAGCCGAAAGGATAACCAGAGTGGCTTATGCATGTTCAATCAAGGGGTTGAATCGGCCAACCCTGAACCCTGGCAGGAGATGCAGCGCCTTTCGGACTCCCTGGATGCCATGGTCTGCGGCATGCTCGTTCGAGTGACGGGAAAATTGGCCAGAAGGCAGCACACGCGGACCCAGATCCAAGTGAACCTGGCAGATTCGTAGCTACGGGCCTTCCATTTGTGCATTTGATATTAGGAAGTTGTAGAAACAAGTTGGACGGCTGTTGGGAACTGTTTGCCCAAGGTTTCCTCCAAGCTCTGCTGTTCAAACTCATTTCCTTGATTCGACTGCAGTGGTGTCACTTGTTTCGTGGCCCGCTATGGATTGCGGATCTCCCCCCAAGGGGCGCCTCATATTTCCCTTCCCCTTGAAGCACCCCACCAAAGGGAAGCTCTCTTTACATTGGCCCAACAGGTGATGTTTAGAACGTCAAGGGAAAGTATGTGTGTGGGTCAAAAACAAGAACTCAAAAATGGAGTGCCCTGGGTTTGCCACCTACAGTCTGGTGGCAAGACAAATGACCCATGCCGATATAGGGGACAACACGACCCCCTTAGAAATTGCATTAGGGAGGGAAGGTTCCATTTTACCTTTCATAAGACTTGGTACATGGAATTGCGGGACCCCCCCTCTCGGCCCAAGCACCTCGTTCGAAATTCGCCATGCTCGCCTGGCAGCGGGCGGCGCAGCTCTTTGCCAGCGGCGCTGAGCTCTCACAACTGGACCCCAAATTTTCTGGAAACCCAATCGGTCCTCCAAAGCATATATCATGGGGCCTGGGAGGAGGAGGAGGGGAGGGGGAGGGAGCCCAAATAAGCCCCCATTATGCCCTTGTTTAGGGCTTATTTGGGCTCCCTGTCCCCTCCCTCCCCCCAAGCCCCACAAGCATAGGCTCACTCCCTGAGTTTCTGGACCTTGCACTTTTCGGGAGGATGTTTTGGTGGCTCTCCACAGGAAGTCAGCAAGCTTGTGGTTCACCTGTTTGGTCCGGTTTTAAGTTCTTAGCCCTTTGCCCTTTTTGATCCTTTTTGACTTTCTGCCTCGGTCCAAGTCGCTCCCCCTTTCATTCCCATTTTCAAGTTTCCAAGCCCCTGAACCCGGGCAACAAGTTTGCAGCCTGAAATGGGGTTCCATTTCACCAGAACTCATGTTTACCTCCAGAACATGTTCGCATGGGTTGAGAGTATGGCGCCCATTTGCTTGCGGCCACAAAGAAATCAAAAACAACAAACAACACAAAACCAAACACAACAACAACAAACAACACACACACAAAAATAATGATAATAGTAATAAGCACATAAAAAACAGAGGAAACAACAACATCGGGGGTCGGATCGCTAGGACTTGGCGGTGGCCAACCAGCTGATCAGCGCGCTTGGCCAGCGAAAGCAGTGGCAGCAAGCCCTGGAGGTACCGGGGCAAGGGGGTGGCGGATCCACATCGGTGCTGTCAACTTGCTGGTGCGATACGTAGGGAATGACCCAGCGTTTTGGGAGGGAATGTGGGAAGGACCCCCAAAATGTTCAAACCACTTTCTGGTGCAATGCATAGGGAATGACCCAGCGTTTGGGGAGGGAATGTGGGAATGACCCCGAAATGTTCAATCCACTTGCTGGTGCGATACGTAGGGAATGACCCAGCGTTTTGGGAGGAAATGTGAGAATGACCCCAAAATGTTCACTCCACTTGCTGGTGCGATATGTAGGGAATGACCCAGAGTTTTGGGAGGGAATGTGGGAATGACGCGATACGTAGGGAATGACCCAGCGTTTTGGGAGGGAATGTGGGAATGACCCCCAAAATGTTCAAACCACTTTCTGGTGCGATGCATAGGGAATGACCCAGCGTTTGGGGAGGGAATGTGGGAATGACCCCGAAATGTTCAATCCACTTGCTGGTGCGATACGTAGGGAATGACCCAGCGTTTTGGGAGGAAATGTGAGAATGACCCCAACATGTTCAATCCACTTGCTGGTGCGATATGTAGGGAATGACCCAGAGTTTTGGGAGGGAATGTGGGAATGACGCGATACGTAGGGAATGACCCAGCGTTTTGGGAGGGAATGTGGGAATGATCCCAAAATTTTCAAACCACTTGCTGGTGCGATACGTAGGTACTGACCCAGCGTTTTGGGAGGGAATGTGGCAATGACCCAGCGTTTTGGGAGGGAATGTGGGAATGACCCCCAAAATGTTCAAACCACTTGCTGGTGCGATACGTAGGGAATGACCCAGCGTTTTGGGAGGGAATGTGGGAATGACCCCGAAATGTTCAATCCACTTGCTGGTGCGATACGTAGGGAATGACCCAGCGTTTGGGAGGGAGTGTGAGAATGACCCCAAAATGTTCAATCCACTTGCTGGATGCATAGGGAATGACGCAGCGTTTTAGGAGGGAATGTGGGAATGACCCCAAAATGTTCAAACCACTTTCTGGTGCGATACGTAGGGAATGACCCAGCGTTTTGGGAGGGAATGTGGGAATGACCCAGCGTTTTGGGAGGGAATGTGGGAATAACCCCAAATGTTCAATCCACATGCTGGTGCGATACGTAGGGAATGACCCAGCGTTTTGGGAGGGAAAGCGTTTTGGGAGGGAATGTGGGAATGACCCTAAATGTTCAATCCACTTGCTGGTGCGATACGTGGGGAATGACCCAGCGTTTTGGGAATGAACCTGGGGATTCCGGATTCCCTTAAGGGAAACCGCAAGGGATGGTGTATAAGGCTCATTCCCTCTTTCAGTGCTGAACACCGGCAAGTCAAGTAGGGATGCCAGCGGACAAGGACGCGCTTATAGTTTAACAATGCCCCAGGAAATTTGAGAGGCACAGGCACCCCTCGTTTCACCTTGTTGAAGCATCAGCTCTTTGGTTTCTTCAAATGGGGTCCAGGGAGCATCATTAAAAGAGGGAAACCCTATAAAAACAAGTTATGCTCAAGCCGGGAGGTTTTGTTCAAGCTGGACTCACCAGACGTGGTGTCCTACAATGCAGCCATCACCAGCTGCGGCCGGGGTGGCGAGTGGCAAATGGCCCTTCTGGTGCTGCAAAGGCTGGTGCTGGAAGGCTCGAGAGGGGGGTCGTCCTTCCGAAGCCTTTCTTGGGCAGTTGGAATCCAAGAAGAAGCCAACACTTTGCACGTGAGGAGGGGGATTAGGGACCCCGTGACTACGCCAAAAAGTGCTTTTTTGACAGCGGCATTGAGGGTTCCGTGAGTCAGTGAGTCGAGCCTAACGTGGCTTCCACCCTCGCGAAAGAACAAAACAATCGTGGCTTGCATCCTTTACAGGGCGACTCTTTCTCTCTCTTTCTCTCTGTCTTTGTCTCTCTGTCTCTCTCTCGCTGCTCCTGCTGAAGAGGCCCTGTGACCCTAGTAAGCAGTACCTAGGGATTGACCATTTTTGGAGGGACCCGAAGCCGCCGAACAAGCAGGGATGTAGAGCTTTAGAGGGATTCCTGGTAGTAAACTCACCAACAACATGGTGAAATCAATCCAGCGCCTTTGAACCAGTGGAATTCAGTTGCCCCGTTGACAGTCCCCGGACTTCAAGCAGACGTCATTAGCTTCAACGCGGCCTTGCGTGCTGCCGCCGAGTGGCGCCGTGCGCTGCATCTGTTTGGACGCCTCAGGCGGGGTCCATGGAAAGAGGTTTGCGCGCGGGCCAGCCTATGGGTCTCTCTCCCACGGCCATTTTGGGCGTTGGGGGGGAGGGGGGGGTCCGGCCAAGTGCCAGGCCATTCTCGTGCTCTTTGAGACACATCCACTTAGTAGGTTGCAACCGTGGTTTTTCTGTCGGCCACGGGTTGTGTCACAGGCCATGGTTGAAACCTTCTTAGCTAGGTTGCACGTCCAAGCAGGGGAGAGGCCGAGGGGAGGGGAGGCTCAGGGAGCGCGGCTAGAAAGAGGACCCCGCTCCCACAAATTTTCCCTTTCTGGGTACAGATGGTACGGGGGAAATTCTGCATTGGCTGAACCCCATGTTTTTGTTCCATTTCGGGGCGGGGGGGGTTGACGGCCCAAAACGCAAGCCGGGCTGCTCCCTTTTTTCAGCCACAGACTTTTGTTTTTAGGCCCAAGTTTGCGCCTGACGTGATCACCTACAGCCTCTTGATCGGCGCCTGTGAGGGTCAGTGCTGGGAACCGGTACTGCTTCTATTGCAGGAGCTGAAAGATGATCAGCTCGAGGCCAGGGCAAACTAAATCTTTTGGCCTACCACTTGCTGGGGTCACAGGGGCAGAAGAATGGGAAGCCAACACTTGTCGCTAAGTGGGAGAATTCGGCAGAAGGTTTCTCTGTACGCTATTAGGACAGGAGCTCCGACAGTCTAAGGATGACAGCTCAATCATATTTTGTAAATATGTACATACATACATACATACATACATACATACATACATACATACATACATACATACATACATACATACATACATACATACATACATACATACATACATACATACATACATACATACATACATACATACATACACACACATATATCTATATATTTGTATATGTATGTATTTATGTATGTATATGTACATATACACACACACACACATATATATATATATATATATGTGTGAACCTAGTTGTGGTGAACTCTATCTGGTGAACTTTTGGCATTTGCCGCGCATTATGCGTGTGTTCTTGCGTACGTGCGGGGGTTCTGCAGAATAAGCAGCTTCGCCGGGTCCGTTGCGTTCTAAGCGCCGATTCACGTGAGGATCGCTTCTTTGCAGCTTCGGGCATCGGGAAGTGTGTAATGTTGACCCTATTAATCAACCAACCAGCTTCTCAAGTTCGGGGGGTTTTGGATGTCCAAAAGTGGTGTGGTTCCAACCAAATCGGACACCCTCCCCTCCAATAACAGGTTGGTTGATTAATAGGGGGTCAACATTAGCAAGTAGTGCCTTAGTTTTTGTAGCGTTTGCCTAGACCCATGGTTTCCGGATGCGAAATCTTTTGTTTTTGGTAGGCTTTTAGTCTTTAGATCTTTGACATCCGTTGGATCTCGCTGGAAGGCACATTGTTTGAACAACCAGCCCAGCCTCCTTGAAAGGGACATCAACTGCAGGTGGTTTCAAAATAGTTGCTTCAACCTATACAAACTAGAAGCTGGAGCCATAGGCCAGGAGTTCCCAACCTGAGGCTGGCAGGCTGTTCATCTCTTTGGGCAGTAGAGGTACCCTTCTTGAGGTTGGTTCAAGGGAAGCGGAAAGGACAACGACAATTTTTGTGGTCCCTCATCTGCATGCCTATGCGGACCTTTTGGTGTTCAGTGAGTTTCGCCAAAGCGGCCCAGGATCTAAGCATGTCCTTTTTAGTTGGGGACCCTAGCCTGTGACCTTTTGTGACATAAATTTAGCAATGCAAGGCTGAAAGCGGGCCGACATCTAAGCATTGTGTGATTTTGTGAGGTGGGGGGGGGGAGGCAAAAGTTGATGTACTAGCTGCCAACAAAACACGTGCCACCCTGCAGGCGGACGTTATCAGCTACAACAGCTCCATCAGCGCCTGTGGCAAAGCCGCGCAGTGGCAGCGTGCCGTCGCCTTGTTGGACGAGATGCGCCATGCAGACACCATCTCCCACAACGCGGTGCTCAATGCGCTGGGCAGGGGGTCCGAGCGGCTCTGCTATGGCGGGGCTGAGTGAGTTTATTTGGATTTGTGGCATCCCTTTTGATTCGACATTGATTTTTGATCCTGATTGGTTTGCTTGTCCTGTCCTAAGAGAAGGACAAGCTTGGGCAAACGGGCGCTCTTGATGCATACTAGGCGGAGAGTGCGAATGACGTGTGTATACAGATTTGCAAATGCATATACATGTGTATATATGTATACAGATTCATACAGATACGTATGTATCTATTCGTGTGTGTGTGTGTATGCATATTGAATGTACTTACACGTGAACATAGAACATGTTAATAATTTCGGATGTGCTTCTTTGGGTTTGAACGCTTTGTCAAAAGTCAGCAAAGGTGGGAAAGGGCCTTGCAGCTCTTTGGGAGCCTCCAGAGCAATCAGATCCAGGCCAGCCTAGTCACCTACAACGCCGCCATCAGCAGCTGCGACTTGGCGGGCGCGGTTCCTTTTTGGAGTCTCAGGATTTCCGCATTCGCCCAGATGTTTTGACTTTGGGTGGTGAGTTGCAGCCATGAAATGATTTGCCAGATGCTTTTTGCATGGCAATCCTTCCCCAAAACAAACATGCGGTTAAAAGGGCAAGTTGTTCTCCAAGGGGCCCAATCCGTTCGTTGGTTCCACAAACTTTGGTTTTTGGAAGGACGCACTCCCGTTTTGCTGTTCCTTCCGCTTCGAAACGTGCGAGGCGAAAAGGCCGGAAGGTGGCAAAGCGCCTTAGAATTTCTTGGCCTGCTCAGCTCTGTGAGCGTCCAGGCGGGCGTTTTATGTGGTATCTCGGACGTGGCTTTAAACACAGTGGATTCCATGCTGGAGAGAAAATGGAACAGTGGAAATCAAAATGGAACAGGTTGAAGGTCCTGTTGTTTTGCTCCCATTGCTTTTGGGGGAATCAGGGGCCAGATGGAATTAACCGGCTCTGCGGCGAAAATCCCTAGGAAACAGGGCACTCTCCCTGCCAGGCGGATGTCATCTCCTACAACTCCACCATGATGGCCTGTCAAAGGGCAGAACAGTGGCAACAAGCAATCGGACTGCTGGCATCGCTTTACCAGGCTGCCATGTGTTTGTCATTCCCTGAGTTCTTTCCCTCTTCTCACTCCCAGAGTTCCGGACTTTGAACGCTTTGGGGAAGACCATCTTTGTGGCAAACAACAAGTTTGCACTTGTGTTTGGCCACTGCAGTTGTTTTGCCCGGGCTGCAAACAACAATGTTTTTTGCCAACATACCTTGGGTTGGGAAGGTGATGCTGCAGCCGGATGATTTCACGCACTCTGCTGCCCTCATGGCCCTTGGATCTGGCAGACAGTGGCATGCGGTTCTAGACCTGCTCCTTGCCGGCGAGCCGATTTTGCATCTGCCCTGAAAGGCGGTTGGACTTTCTTCCGGAAGGGGGGCCCGATCAAAGAACACTTCCCCTGTTCAGGTCCCTGTCCAAGCTTGAGTCTGTGCCGTTGCGAAAAGTCTCGGCCTGGCGCGTCGTTCGGGTGTATGGTAAGTTGTGGTTTTTCGTTCCTTACTTGCAGCATCCCTAGCATCTTTGGGAGTGACCCACTTTGGGTGGTGCCATTGACAACTGTGAGTGTCTTTTCTGCAGAGGGAGGCACAACACCAAAACCGATCCAGATGTAGAGCAACCTTGTGGGAGATGGCCTTCTTTGCAGTTCCGCGACTTATTTGTTTGAGGCGAGTCCAAAAGAGGTAGGTTGGTCTCTGGGCTTAGGTTGCCTTTGGTGCAGTGGTTTGGGTTCCTCGTTCACTGGAGTACCCTCAACACCCAAAGGTCGCAGTGTACCATGTTGGGTTTCGTCAACCGACCTCTAGGCCTTCTTTTCATGTGGCTAGCTCGATCCAACTTTGGCGCCTCCAGGCAATATCCTCCGAGAAAACTCTCCAAACCGAGAATGATTTTCAGGTAGACGAAATATGCAGAATCCGAGCATATGTTTTTTTTTTTTTGCGGGTAGACGAAATATGCAGAACCCGAGTCACCCGAGCATCTGATTTTTTTGCTGCGTCCATGGGCCGGGGAAGTGTCGGGGAGTTGGTTAGGTTGGCCCAACTGCGTTGCACCACCGCCGTGAACGCCGCCTTGGCTGCCCTAGCCGCGGCCGGGCAATGGCTGCAGGTGCTAAAGCTCTGGCGGGACATGCGGTGGCTCGGATCGGGTTGTTTGGAGTCCCAATTCGTGGAATTATCCACGTCTTTGGTTCAATTGTCTTCAAGGTGTCTTTGTCCCCAGGCCATTTTTCCCAACTGAAAGCTTTGGGGTCTCCGCTCTTTCTCGGGTTGGGAGCCGCTTTTGAGGGTTCTGTGCGAAAAAACCGGGCTGCTACATGGGCTTGGGGCTCGAGCGGGCTTAGGCCAGATGTGGTCACCTGCAGCACCGCCATCGCTGCGAGTGAGGAGTCGGAGAATTGGCCTCTGGCTTTGTGGCTGCTGGCGGATGCACGCAAGAGGCCGGATGGATTCGCCTGAGCATAGATAGCTGCTGAACAGGGTTCCATCTTGTTGAGTATCTCCGCATGGGGGGAATGAACAACCCCTAGGGTCGTGGGGTTAAGTCTACCCCGGGGTAGTAAAAGAGTGGAACCCTGCTGCTGAATGTTCGGTTCTTGTTCAGTCTTTAAAATGTCCAGATTCACCTGGAGGAACTCACGAAAATCTCTGTTGCCAAACAAATCACACAGTTTTTAACTTCTCCTAAAGGAAGCCAAGAAGTGATGTTCCGACCTTGTATTTGGGATCTGGCCGTGCCATGTGTGGAAGATTATGGAAGGGAGGGGCGCACCGCATGGACGATTCACGATGGCAAGGGGGAAGTTCTGCGTAAATCGGGCACCCGACCGGGGCAGGGAGGAAGGGGCAACTGGAGGAGGGTTACGTCCAGAGTTTCATTTATAGTGTCTCCTCTATTTTTGGGAAGACTGCAGTAGCATATGATTCTATGATTTAATAAGCGGAACTGGTTGACCCCCCCGCCCCCCGACATGTTATTTTGCACGGGTTGCCGATTGAATCATTGAATGTTTGCCATGTTGCCTCTTGAAAGCTGCACATAGGTTGCATCCAGCAAGCGCTCTTGGCAACAGAATGGTCCAGGACTGTCTCAAACATGACATGGGATATACTACCGAGATGTTGCTCATGCCAGAAGCTGTGCCGAGTCCAACTTTAGCGTGCGCCCTCACCACGCAGAGAGTTGTAGAGCTGGTGAGTCGGGGGCCACCCCGGCAACCACGGATTTGGTGCGAGGGTCCTTCCGCTAACTGTGGCCAGAATGTGTTGTCCACGTGTCAAGGCTTTTGTGCCAGGCATGTGCAGTTGGACATCATTTCGTACACTGCCGCAATCAGCGCCTGCGGCAAATGTGGCAATTGGCAGCAGGCCTTGGTGTTACTCAGGCAGCTGGTGGAGGGCTCTTTGCGGCAGAATGCCATAAGCTTGAACGCGACTTAGCCAGACATGTTAAGCTTATTGGGCCAAGGGCATGCTTATGGAAGTGGTGCCCCAGCATGATCGGGCGCACGTCGCTGCGCAGGCGGTTGGTTGTGTGGGGGTCGGGGATCACCAAAAGCATTATTGTTTTACATTTCTGGTGTTCCAGACGCTGCCCAGATGTACACGCATGGCTCGATTGACCCATCTTAACCTGGCTTTCCAGATCCGGCGCGCGAATTCGGATCCACACAGACGTCATTTGTCGACTGCGAATCCGGGGTTGGCCCTGGTTCTGCTTCGTGGTTTGGATGAAGAGTTCTGTTGGCCAAACGATCGGTGTGTTGCTGTGTGTTTGTGTTTTATGCCATTTTATGCTTTTGTGGTGTGTGCATTTTATGTGACTTATGTGTTTGCTTGTTTCTTTTTTGGAGGGGACGCGCGAAGTGACGGTTTTCCTTCAGGTCCCCGCCGTCAACGGCCGTCCCTTCCGCCTTCCGCCTGAGGCCACAATCAGCGCCTGTGAGAAGGGCGCCCAATGGCAGAGAGCCGTTTGGCTGCTGCACACCGCGAAGAAGGAGAAGCTGCGGCCTGGCGAAGTCTCCGTCCCCTTCTTGCTGAAACCAATATGCTATACATGTTTTTCTTTTTCTTTTTGCCTCAGGTTGGCCGGAAAGGGAATCGATTTCGCGACTGGATTTGTTTAGTATTCGTGCCACGCACATGGACGTCTCCCCTTTCTTCAGTCCAGCCTTTTCTTTTTTCTGCCGGGGCATTCGCTGGCTTTGTCCCGGAAAGAACGCATCCTCCAAAAGACATGAGCACCCTTTGTTCTGCCAGGGTCAGTGGGCAAGTGGGTCGCGGTTTTCAGATATTCAGTATGCGTGCATGCGGGCCAAGAAGCTAAGGTGTCGCTGAGGGCTGGCTGTCAGTCTGTCCGTCTGTCTGTCCATTTGTTCTTGCGGTCTCGCGTGCGTGTTTGTGTGCTTTGTTTGCTTTGTTGGCTTTGCTTGCTTGCTTGCTTGCTCTCTTGCTTGCTTGCTTGCTTGCTTGCTTGCTTGCTTGCTTGCTTGCTTGCTTGCTTGCTTGCTTGCTTGCTTGCTTGCTTGCTTGCTTGCTTGCTTGCTTGCTTGCTTGCTTGCTTGCTTGCTTGCTTGCTTGCTTGCTTGCTTGCTTGCTTGCTTGCTTGCTTGCTTGCTTGCTTGCTTGCTTGCTTGCTTGCTTGCTTGCTTGCTTGCTTGCTTGCTTGCTTGTCTTGCGGCTTGCTTGTCTTGATCGTTTGTTCTCTTTTTTGTCTTGCGGCTTGCTTGTCTTGATCGTTTGTTCTCTTGTTTGTTTGTGTTATTTTGCTTTGTTTTGTTTTGTTTGTTTGTTTGTTTGTTTGTTTGTTTGTTTGTTTGTTTGTCCGCTCGTTGGTTTGTTTGTTTGGTAGTTTGTTTGTCGATTTGTTTGTTTCTGTGTGTGGTTATTTGTGTGTTTGTTTGTTTGTTTGTTTTGCTTGCTTGCCTGCTTGTTTGTTTTGTTTGCTTGCTTGCTTGCCTGCTTGTTTGGTTGTTTGTTAATTTGTTTGTTTGTTTGTTTGTTCGTTCGTTCGGTTGTTTGCTTGCTGGTTTGTTTGCTGGTGGCAGGAGGTGGCACCGCACTGAGGCAGACCGACTTGGTGTCCTTCAATTCCAGCATCAGTGCTTGCGAGAAGGGCAGCCAGTGGCAGCAAGCCTTGCTCTTGCTCAGGGAAGCCCAGAAGGCACGACTTACCCACAGCCGCAGAGAGTCGATTTTACATGAATTAACTTGTGGGATCCATGCCAATGACCTTGCAGATTCTGTGATGTGCGCACCCAGGCAAAAGGATTCACTGGGTTTTGGCTGGCATGAGGATGGCCTCTTGACATAGGAGACTCGTGGGATTGGTGCCGTGCACTGGCTGTCTCAACAATAAAGCAAGCAGGGGCTGGGGAAATGGTCCACACTTTGAGAGCATAACTGCAAGGGGCATGCTTCAGACTTTGAGCCAAGACTTTGGGAACTTGCGGTTGCAAGCAATTCCCGCGAAGAGGCCCTGACACGAAGGGCTGCCAGATTTGAGTGTGATGCAAACAGGCCCAAGTCAATCAACAGACCCGTTGATTGTCAGAGATACGCTCAGCTCTTGCAGTAGCTTCGAGGTTTGTCAATTCAGAGCCTTGAATTTTCGTGAGCAGAATGCCAGACATGTCCAGCTCCTGTTCCTTTAGGCAGACTGACAAAATTATTGAACATCTACGGTTGGTGAGAGGAAGCCCAAGTTTCTGCATAAACCAGGGGGGCGAGGGGGGGGGCGGGCCCCGAATTTTCCCCGCTCCGGGAAACCTGGGAAGGTGTGCGTCAAAAGGGCAAAGAAGATCCCTCTGAACATTTTGTTTTCTTGGGTTCCAGGACTTGCAAAGCACAAAGAGTCAAAGCGGCTTGGATCTGTTTCCCCACAAAGTAGAAGGAGCAGGGTTGTGGGATCAAGGGGCTTATCCCCACTTTTGTGATACAAGGGAATCTCTCCCTTTTTTTGGGGGGTTAGTCTTTGGGAAGCCCTTTTTGTCGTATCATAAGTGGGTTCCATTTCCCACAGCCTGAGAAGGAGGCTTTTCGCCATCCAGCAGATGTGCGTGGCAGGTGGGGCAGAGTGACGTCATCACCTACAGCGCCAGCATGAGCTCCTGCAACCAGGGAAGCGCGTGGCAGCTGGTGCTGGCGCTTCTGGATGAGCTGGAGCCACAGAAGGCATCCCCAACCCGTTGACGAAGTCAAATCGGCAAAAAAGAAAGCCCTAGAAAGGGGGCCCAGCATGGATACATCATTTGTTACAAGAGGGGTTGCGTTTGTAGTCAGTCGGAACGCAGTAGGCACTCCTTGGAACCCCGCCCCCCCCCTCCCCCATTCTTGCAAGGCACTGGGGGCGTGATGTGCCAGGAATTTCCCTTCCGGCCTTCCGCCCGCGCGAGCCACTCCGTTTACCGCGCAGGTGAGGCCCAACTCCGTGACCTTCAACGCGGCCATCAGCGCGCTGGGCAAGGGCAAGAAGTGGCGCCGGGCGCTGCTGATGTTTCAGGCGCGGACATTCGAGGCCTAGGGTCGAGGCTGTTGTGAGACTTCCCTTCCAACACAAAGGTGGGGGGATTCCGGGATGGGTTTCAGGACGGGATATGATTCCATTCAAGGTTTTTTTTTGGTCGAGCCGGCTTTTGCTAAAAAGTATAAAGAAGGGGGGGTGATTGAAACAAAGCCGCCGTTTGTGTCGGGTCCGCGTTCCCCCCCCCCTTTTTGAGACAAGTGGTGCGGTTTTTCAATCTGACATGGCGCTTCCTCGTTGCTTTCCAATGTCTAATGGTGGCGTCGGCCTCGTTTTTCATCATTTTTGCACCCCAAGCCGAACATCGGTCTTCTGTCCCTGCACACCGATTGTTTTTTGGGGGCAATTGTTCAGGCCGAGCATATGGGAATGTCTCGAAAAAATGCCATCAAAAATCGGGTAGATGAAGGTTAGTAAGGGAGAGTCCGAACCAGACATGGGTGCAGCCTTGGTAAATCTTTACTCTTTTCTTCGGGCTCACCTTTGGTACTAGGTGTTGGTTGTGTCTCGAGTGAAGAAACCCTATAAACTATAGGGATCCTTTACTGTTGTTGGCAAGTCTTTGCTTCTGTTTTGTGTTGTTCGATTATCTTCATTATTTCTCTTCATAAGTTTTGTGTTTTTTCATCATCTTGGGGGCCGCATAAGCTTTTTGCTACCAGCCCAAGGGCCCGAGGGTTGTAAAGGATCCCCTGAGAGGAGCTCGGCTTCCGCTCCGTGCGCGCGGACATTTTGACCTACCATGTGACGATGAGCGCCTGCGGGGCCTGCGATTATTGGCGCCACGCCTTGCGCCTGCTGCGGGACATGGCGCGTGCGAAGGCGGCTGAGTTGATGAGTTGACCCTAAAGTGGGACCTTACACATGGACTGCGAGGGGGCGCGGGCTATTGGCGGGGGGGCCGTCCCTGGATAAGCCCAGATAAGGGGGGGATGCGGGGCTGTCCCTGGATAATCCAGCCCAGGATAAGCCAAGGATAAGTCCCGTAATACGGCCTTAACGGTTAACCAGGGATAGGCCCCCCTCCCCATAGCCCTCTTTTCGGGTCCGTGACCCATGGTCGAGGCTTTACGTTCTTTTTTTGCGGGGTCCAATTGTTTCAGGGCTGGCATGAGGTTTGGGTTGTTTTACCTGGAACCTGCAACAGCCGTATACAAATGGCGGTTTCCCAAACAACCATTTCCTGTGAACAAACCCTTCCTGATGGAGAAGAAAAGTTTGGGAAACCACTATGTAAATTGTTGTTGCAGGTTCCAGGCAGGGAATGGGACATATTATTTTCCGCAATGCCTCCCTTTGTCTCTACGCACTTTTTGTGGGGTCCTATGGTTTCTCTGTCGGCATGTTTGGTTTCTGTGAATCTGCAATTTTCACCTTTCACTGGGCATTTCGTGAACACCTTTTCTCCTTTTTCCACAGGAGTGGTAGACAACTGGCGTGGTTTTCAACTTGTTGGCCTTTGCCAGGGGCCAAGTTTCTACCCTTACCATCGGGTCTTTCCTTGAGATTTTCTCTTGGATTTGCTTGAGCCGATTTGTGAGGTTTCAGAATCTTGGAATTCCTGTCCAATCTCAATGGGGTGTGGCTAGCTTAACTGAGGCCGTGGTTCCATTGGGGATGGATCCAATGCCGATGGCTTGTCGCTGGTCTTTGGTTTCAAAACGGCTGCAAGTTTAAACAGGGAGCCACCTCAAAACGTTGGTGGACCATGGGTCATTACCTAAATGATGTTCACCCCAGGGTCGCCCTGTAAGATCAACAGCCAAGTCGGCCCAAAATTTTGGCAAACAAGAAACTCGCTCCCGGAGTTCCTGGACTTGATATACATTTCAGGAAGGCCAACTTCTAGTGGATTTTGCTTTTGGGCTTTTGGGCGGGTGACCATTTTTTTGGAAGCTGGGTAAACAAGAAAATGGTTTGGGGTGCTTTTTTGGGGGGCCACACATCCAATTCGACACCTTTGATTCCCATGGACCAGGTGGAGGCCAACGCCGTGACCCTCAACGTGGCAGTGAGCGCCTGTGAGAGGACTGCCTCGGTTCTTTTTCTTTTGGTTTGGTAGGGTTTCCCGGGTCAAACGTGCCAGTGCACATGGGTGGAGTTTTCTGGTTTGTACTACTCTTGGAGCGCGCGGTTTTTGTCCGTCCAACAACGGCCAACCAGCCAACCAAGTTGCCGTTTCCGTGTCTCGACATTTCCCGTAGTTTCACAAGCTCCAAGACAAGCATGGATTCAAGTCAAGGGGGCCGCCAAACCCAAGAACAGCCGATGTGTCGTGGGGATGCGTTGCTCGGAGAGCAGCAAAGGAGATCAATGCAACTTGTGGAAGGTCGTGTTACATCATCCAAGTCACCCCCAGGGTTTCACTTGTTAATTTCAATTGCCTCGATTCTCGCAATGGTCGCCTCTTTTCGTGAAGCTTCACCTCGACATAGTCGCCCTTTTCCAACTGTTGCGATCCATCCCTGTCCTTCTCCACCTGGACGTAGTTATCCCTTTCCAAGTGTTGCCATGTTGTTATCAGTCGGCGGGTCACCTCTTTTCGCCCAGCTTGACCAGGACCTGGACATGGAAAAACCCCTTTTCCGGGTGTTGCGAGGTCTATCCCAGTTGGCTGTTTTTGTTTCTACTTTCTTTTTTTTTAAATGGGACCCTTTGGTGGACATCATTTTAAAATTCATGGCCAGTTGGACCTGCTAGGACCCTCCAGCCTTGCACCCACAAGGAGCACCAGGTGGGCCTGCTGCATCCTTTTGCTCGCGGAACCTGACACCCAGCGCGACGAGCGCGAGGTGGCTTGCAACGCGGGGATCCACGCGTGCCAGCGGTGCAGCCACTGGCGCCAAGGGCTTCGCCTCTTTGCGGAGGTGAAGGCAGCCGCTGGGGTCATTTTGACGGTTTCTGGGGGTTTTCAACCAGCCAGTGGACACACTTTACACTTTGTTCCTTGGCGGCTCTCCTTTTTTACTAGTGGTGGCCCAAGAAGTGTACGCATGTTTTTGGCTGGTCACTGGCCAAGTGAGTCAAAGTCAGAAAATAGAATCAGTTGTTTCACTTTGATCATGGTAGAATAATGAGGCCAGCACAAGGGACTAGGGCGAAGCCCCAAGTCACATGCGCCACGTCCTCAAAAAAATCGGGGAAAGATGAAGGTTGGTAAGGGACCATTCCAGCCGAAAATGGGCGCAGCCGCGTTTTCAATGTTTTGCATGGTTCTGGGTAGGCCATGTTAGTACCATGTTTTGATTGTGACTCACATGACTCAATTTGGGTTTGAAGGTATTTAGAGTGCCCCACCGTGCGAAAATGATCTTCCCCAGTCAGGTAGGGGGGGGGGGTTCCAACCAGACATACAGACGACCCCAATGAGGAGCGGGGGGGGGGGCGTGGGGGGGCAGCTCCCAAAGTGAGCGGATCCCCGGTGAGCGCAAATCCTTCCAGAGAAGGTTCTCACACCGTGGATGGACAAAACTATCCTGAGCAGTTTGTAGGTGGTGATCCCAGTGATAGAGTTTCATCCATGCCAACGTGTGCAGGTTTGTGCCCATCCACACGCGCCGTCTTCATCAAAATTCCTTCCCCGCATTTCTGATCACAAAAGCTTGTCCCGAGCTTACACCCATGCTGTGCCTACTCTCACTTCTTGAGTGGGTTGGCCAAAAAAAGTCCAAACTGTTGAATTAAACAAAACAACACTAAATGGTCTTACCAAACAGTTTAATTAGGGAGTAAGTACTTGAGCTCACCTCCACAAAGGTTGAACTATCTTTCTTCAGTGTTCCCTTTCTGGGGAATCCACCACACTACCCTGCGGGCAGAGGCCCACATTGTGGTTTGATTGGGGCTCAACATGCTTTCTTTCTTTTTTTTGGGCCAATCAGGCAGAACCTGCGGGAGAACATGTTTCTGCTTTGTATCAAGTGAGGGCAGCTTGCATCCAAGAAGCACAAGTGTGCTGCACATGTAGATGCCTGTATGTCATTGGCACCTTGTGGCACTGGCAACGGTGGTGGTGGTAGTGGCAGTCTTGGTGACAATGGCATGGGCGATGGCGGTGCCAGTGGTGGTGGTGGCGTTCAAGGCGCCCTCTCTGACCCCTGGGATTTCAATTTTTTAACCAATCAGGGTCCTATAAAACGCGGCACACCTCATATGATGCCTAGAGGGGCGAGCCCCTTTTCCGCCACGTTGCAGCTGCCACCCTGCTTCGAAAGAGGCTGCTTGGAGCCTCTAAAGCGCTTCAGGATCCAAAGGGGTGTCTTTTAGCCCCAAAAATGTGGTTTTCCTTTCGGGCCTCCTTGCAACCCACAACAAGGGGAAGGATGCAATCCGCAGATTCTGCACATCGGAAACCGATCCGAAGAGCAGAATGAGCTTCGTTTGCGGACAGGGGGCAGTGTCAAAGCAATGAAAGGTGATGTTTCAACCACCCAAGGGGAACTAGAAGTCTAAGGTGACTTGTTCATCACTTTGGCAGCAAAGCTGGCAATTACCTGACCACATTGCGCCTCACATGGTCCCCCCCCACACCTCAGCAGCCACCTCTGTTGGAAGACTGCTCTAGCAGCGGCTTGCCTACAAAACCCAACATCCACCGATACTTCCGAGGGGGACGCAGCTGAAACGGAATAAATTTGGTACTTGACGGCGCAGGGGACTGAATAACTGCCCCCGCAATGTTAGATTGAATCCCTGAGGGTCCAAGTACTCTATACTGAGGTACTTTCGTGAAAAAGCCGTGCTTCTGACACTCCTGGGCCCGAGTACGTGAATATTGCGGATTCTCATTTTGAAGCCGTTTGGGAACACAAACCCAGCGCAGACCACGCGATACGTTCATCGCTGGATGGCACACAGAAGCACTGCCTAAGGTAACATGTCATACATTCGCCTCTAAAGCGGGGTTTTGCGGGTCAAACGCCTCGGGATGCTCAAAAATGCGCAAAGATCTTAATGCCTCAGTAGCGACAGACAACCTTCTGCATTCTTTCAAGCAGAGGGACTGTTGCCGAATGTTGCACATGTCTTCACCATGTCCTGCAAGAACAGCGATCGTGGGGAAAGTGCTTGTTCTTGTCAAAAGTGCAGCACCGATTTGGCGTCGCAACATCCTTCAGTGCATCAGAATCACCCTGGCGGCATCGAAACAGCACTCGCGCATTAATTACGTTTCCCAGAACTGATGCCGCAATTTAACGCGATTTAACGCCCAGAAGCTGGCATTCACGGCTTTTAACGCAATTTAACGCAATTTAACGCAACTTTATCGCGTGATGTGTGGAAACTTCTTTCGCATGTCACAGCACTCACACATTAAACGAATGTACATTCTGAGGTTTAGTGCGATTTGACACAATTTAATCCGATCTAACTCCCACAAGCGTGTCGGCACGGCTTTGGGCGCAACTTGTTTCAATCGAACACGACTTTATCGCGTGATATTTTTCTTCAACAACCGCAGCCTAGACCGGGTGGGTTGATGTGCTAGAGAGCCCAACAGTCCTTCTTGAGCAACCCCATGCCCCCAAGACAAGTTGATCACCGAAGGTTATGATGCAACTATGCCGCGGTTGCAAATGAGGTGAAGCTGTCAGAGTAAAACACTCTTCCGCTAAGGGGATGGTTGAATTTTGGTGCAACACGGTGCAACATGTCATATTCACGGCTTTTCGCCCCGAAACCGCGCTCCTGACATGTTGAGCCAAAACACGCGAATATTACGGATTCCGTTAAGTACCTTGTAGTTACGGGTTTGGACCCTCAGGGAATCCAAAAAGGGGCATTCCTCGACGTTTGAGGACACACGAACGGAACGGGTCAACGTCTCAGCTGTCTCAGGCCAACGTCGCGAGCTTCACCGCTGCGTTCTCCTTCGAAGGGCGCCGCTGGCGGCCCTGGATGGTAGCGGAGATGCAGCGTCTCGCGACCAAAGGTCTGCAGCCAAAAGACGCGCCAACCGCCAGCGCCGCTCGTTGGTCCATGTGACGCGCTGTTCTCAGGAAGTCAATGGTCCGTTTGGGTGGGACGCACAGCACTCGCGTGCCCCAATTTTCCGACAACTCTCCAATTGACCTGTAACCAACATATATCTTCTTTGTGGGAAGGGGTCCTGAACTCAAAATTGTGTCAGAAAAGGTCCCCGCAATCTAGCCTTGGTTGTGGAAAGTTTGGATTTGTTGTGGCCACTTTCCTGTGGTTTGCAAGGGATGGCCATTTCCACGTGGGAATGGCCCAGGCCAATTTAGATATCACAAGTTGGCGGCTTTCCATGGCTGAGGCAGCCAGTGGTCGGCCATGAGGTACTGTAACAGATGTGTGGAAGGTTTTGTATTGCAAGCTTTGTGAACGACTAACTCCTTTGGCCATGCGTGACATCCAGGGTTGGCATTCAAGATCCTGTTGCATCTTTGCTCTCAGGGGCCCTCGAGCCAGGCTACGTGGTCTTGAAGGGTGTGGGCTATCACCGGAGTGAGAGGCAATAAATGTGCATGGCCAGCTCAACCCCAGCCTGTCTGAAGGCTCAGCCGGCTTCCGGAAGTCTACAGGAAGTTCACCAAAGACCCTTTCAATACCAGGGTTTTGGTAAACTTCCTGCAGATTTTCCTTTGGCTTGCGTAGATTGTCCTTCCTTCTCGCGGCGCCATGGACCCTTTGAGCGCCGAACATGGCCCCAGGGCCAGGCCTCGCGCCGGCAGCGGCCACCGCGCGGGTCGGTCAGTTGGGCCGGGCCAGGCAGTGGCGAGCCTGCTTGGAGGCGCGTTCCGAACGCCCCCGCTTGGTGACTAAAGGAAGCCCTTCCTTGGGAGTGACATAGGCCCATGACCCACCATAAAAGCCTTAGCCAAATGATTCATTGACTAGCCCAAAGTTGCAAATGAGTCCATCTTTGCCTGCATCTTGAACAAACAACATAGGTATCCATAGGTCCAGTGGTTTTCTAGGTCAATTTGGTTGAAGCTAGCTCATATTCTGCCGGTTTCAGTTTAGTTTCAGGCATCTACTGCTCAGACCATGTGTTTTTCCAAGCGAGGGGGAGGGGGGGGCAGGCTTTGCCGAGCCTCAGGTTCTTTCGCACTTGGGCCGTGCTGGCTCGGAGCTGAACATCATCACCTGCAATGCCGCAATCGCCGCGACTAGGACCGGGCTCTGGAAACGTTAAAACCCACTCAAAGGTTACTTTTCGACACCCAGTTAAAATGGGTTGCTCTCTTTTGTGTGGCATTCCCTCATTTACCCAGGGGAACCAATGGTGGTTTAAGCCAAAAAGTTACGGTTTGGAGAACCCGGACAAGATGCGGCCGAAAGTAAGTTTTGGAGAGCGGAAAGCACCACCCGGGACATTTTGAGAACCTCGTTCCATGGGAGGAGAGATGCCTGGCCGGTAGCGTTGCAGCTGGCTGCGTGCAGTGAGGCAGACCTTGTCACCTACAACACGGCCGTCAGCAACTTGGAGTGGCCCAAGGCGGGGGGGGAGTTCAAAGCGTCCCTTGTCCCTCGTTGCCGGATCACCTGGCGGTGGTTTAGACAACCTTCGCTTATGCAAGCGGAAGGGGATCCTTCTCGGATGTGAGACGGACGCCGGAACCATAGGATTGAGCTTCGTAGTTAGAAGCCGCTTCTGTTGGACACACGCGCCACGGTGAAGAAACCACAAAAAAATAGAAGCGTGCGAGAAAGCCTATAGATTCCAAGGATCATGGATACACCTATTGGGACAGGTGCCGAGGACCTAGAGAGGGGGTGGGGGTCGGCCAATAATGGACCTCTACTCAAAAGAGCACCCCCCGTTTTTGCGGCCGACCCTCCTCCCCTCAAGCTACTGGGGCCCAGTAGGCCAGGAATTTGATGTGTCGACACAGCGTCACATGATGTGCAGCATGAGCAAGTCGCCATGCAACTGTTTCTTGTTCTAAACAACCGCTGGCTTCTTATCACGCTAGTGATGGGTGTATTGCGTGAACTGTTTGGATCACCGTCAAGTCTTTCACACAAATGTGTTTCTTCTTGGCGTTGGCTTATCAATTGCTGCCCGCGAGTAATAATTAACGACGAATCTGCTCACCTGCCGCTTCATGCATATGTCTTCGAGCGTGCTTCTATTGGAGCATTTGCTACGTACGCTTAGCTATTGGACATCTAGCTCCAACAGGAATGCAGAGCTTTTCTGGCATACTAGACGCGGAGCTTCTGCATTCCTGCCGTGAAGCAGTGGCTTCATGTTTCTTGCAACCAATGATGTCTAATTGCAAAAGCTGGTTTGCTGGAATCGTGTGCCATGCATTGCTGTGTTTTTTCCCCGCGTAAATAGCAACAGCCAAAAACACTGTAAAGCAAAGGCCCGCCAGACTCCTGCTCTCTTTTGAGGTGGCCCTTTTTGGGGTTGAACCACAAGGCAAATCCATTTTTGCGCGGTAACCTTATTTGGGCTTGTGTCACCATGGGGGAACGTCCTTTTTGGGTGGTTCCTCTTGGTTGCCTACTTTCAAACGACCCCAATGCGGGTACACGATAAAATAGCACCCCCCCCCCCGTTGGATTTGATGACCTGTTCCTCGCTAGGCCTTGGCACTGCTCGGATCCATGACGATTGCGCGTGTGCGCCCGGACGACGTCACCTGGAACTCCGCGAAGTTGGGCTGGTCCTGGGTCTTGGGCCGTATCCGCGAACATCCGGACCTGGCCGGGGAGAAAAAGCGTCACTCGTTGGTTGACTTTAGGGCCCGTTGTTCGTCTTTTCTTTGTGAGAGGGGTTGAACATCTGTATGGCCCCCAAACAAAAGAAGTGGCCAGCCATACATTTGGACATAGATTTGTGTACCAAGGCCTTAGGGGAGCCTGTTTTCTAATGTACCATTTCAGAGACCAATTTGAGGCGTGCCAAGGGCGCGCGAACCCGAGAGGTCACGTTTGGTGTCCTGGCGGCCGGCTGCGCCAAAAAGGCGCAGTGGCGACAGGCGCTGCTGAGCCGAGCACGGCAGATGGGGGTGCAAGCCGATCTGATGCTTGGCGACGGGTTCCTGAAAAACGTGCGATCAGTGCAATAGGTGGGGAATGAGACATGGAATGAATCCAGGCTCCCCTTAAAGGAAACCAGAAAGCATGGTTTATGGGGGTCATTCCCTCGTTCCCTGCTGAGCAAAAAGGAAAATGGGATTGTGTGTTTGAAGGGTGCCCTTTCTTTGGTGGTAGCTCAGGGAAACCAGGAGGCAACCCAACCTTTTTGGGGCTCCCCTATGTTAAGACACGGCCATATTACTTACGTGTTTAGCTTGTTCGCTTTGCGTTTTTTGGTTTACACTTCTGGGCATCCCCTTTAGATGAGTGATGTTTTTCAATGGGAAATATTGAAAGGGCCTGCAACGATGTATCATACCTGCACCCTCAACATTACTACCATGACTTCATTGGATGTGCTCATAATTTGGTGGGGGGGGGGTGTCCATTTTGTGTGTAGTTGCCAGCAGGAATTTGTTCTTTAACTTTTCCAGAAGGACAGCAACTGTCGCAAGGCCACTAGTATTTGGGTGTGTTGTCGTTAGATTAAAGGAACACCAAAGGGGAAAACCATCTTTTTTGGGGGACACATGCCCAGTTGTTGAGTGTACAAAGCCCTGCTATTTCATAGCCTTGTGTGTTGGCTTCTGGTCTCGAGGATCATCTTCAACTCGATGGGCAACGCTTGCGCCAAGGGCATGCGGTGGAGGGAGAGCCAGGCGTTGATCGCAGGCCTGGCAAGGGGTTGCTTCATTTCAGAGGGAACCCCTCACTTTTGTTTGTGGAGGGACCTTGTCGTTTTTCGCAGCACAATTGTTCGTTTGCGTTCTCAATTGTTTCTCCCTGTTTTTGGAGGGGGGACACCCCGTCTTTGCCCCGGCTGATAAACATTCGGGGTCGACCTTTGTTTGGGTTGGGGGGGGCTGTTTGTCGCCATGTTACACCGAGCCCCAGTTTTCGGGAAGTCCAAAGGGAGGTCGAAGGAGCCCATGGTTTCAAGTCGAGGCCTGGCAGCTGCTGGGGTGCAGCCAGATGAGGTGACCTGCACTGCTGCCATCACCGCCTCCTGGGAAGTGGCGCTGGGAGTTTGGCATCAGCTGCGGGCGGCGGCCTTGCGTCGCAGCGCCGTCACGGGGAATTCCTTGCTGAACGTGCTGCCTGGGTGGGAGCAGGCAGTAGCAACCCTTTGGGCGCTGGAGGAGATGGATGTGGTGTCCTACAACACTGCAATCAAGCTTTGCGGGGCTACCTGGGAGGTTGCCCTTGCTTTGCTGCAGGCCCATGGTGGAGAGTGGGGGTTTAGGGGATCCCCTCTAAAGTGGATCGAAGATGAGGACCACCCGCTTTATCACAAGCCATGCAGGCCCTTGAGCGCCAACGTCTGAAACCAGATGGTTTCACCTTCAGCGCGGCGCTGAAGTCTTGCGAGATGGCGGGCCAGTGGTGGCCGGCTTTGCAGCTGCTGCCGCTTGGCGACGATCTGAGATGAAGCTGGAACGCCTCAAATTTCTCCCCTGCAGATACACGTGTGCCCATCCAAGAATACATGAATCATTTCTAAAGCGAAATCTCATGAAATCTCTTTTTGGGCAATGGCGGTTTGCCCGCTACCTGGCAAAGAGCACTTGGCTTTGGAGTCTCTTTGACCCACCCAGGCAGGACTTCGAGCAGCGGTTCCCTCCGAGCTTGGTGGTCAGGAACGCGGCCATCAGTGCATGCGCGGTGGATGAGGGTTGGCAGCATGCACTTGCTCTGTTGGAGTCTTGCTGCAGACGGGAGTTGCTGGGAGTTCAATGGCCCACTGTCTTTATCTTCCCAAACTTCCATTTGCTCATTTGGGTTTTTTGCCCCTGGTTGGTTTTAATGGGAATCGATTTACTGCTGGAAACATGTTTTTCCAGGCGGCTTAAGCAAATGGACGCAGAGAATCCAAAGAGAGAACCTCTATTCAAGACCAAGGTTGGTGCCGGACCTGGTGACATACGGTGCCGCCTTGTCTGCCTGCGACAGTGGCAGGCAGGCTTGGGCGAATTATGTTGCAAGCAACTAGGCCCTGGGCTTTTCGTAAAGCGGAACGTATAACAGTAGGCCTCGTACAAGGACCTGGGGTGTCTTGGTGGCTCCCAGCCATTCGGTTCCTTAGCTTTTTAGCTTTTTAGCATTTTTTTCTTTTTAGTGTTGAGTGGTTGGGTTTCCATTTGGCCCACTAAAAGTTAGTGCGGTCGTTGGCTTGTTTCGGGTGTTTGGATTCTGGATTCTGTTCACTTTTAGTACGGGGCTAAAAAAAAGTGGCTTCCTACCACACCAAGGGTTGTCAAGTACAGCTGGTCAAAATAGACACGCGTGTTTCTTTTTTTGCGAGTCACTCCCAGGGGCTTGGTTGTTTTGCTTGCTCGGATGTTGGCGCTTTCGGGTGGGGGGTGTTTCAGCCAGGCAGCATGCCATCGCGCTGGCGTTGCTGAAGAGGCTGCCGCTGGCGTCTCTGCAGGCGGACGTGGTGGCCTGTGGCGCAGCCATCAGCGCCTGCGGCAGCAGCTGGCAGACCAGCGAGGCGGGCGCCTGCCGACGGCGCTCCAAGTGGCTGTTGTCGAAACCGTTGTGGTTGATCCCATTTCGAGATTTTGGTGAACTCACCACCCATTTTAGAACCTATTTTGGTGGGCATTGGGATGTTCACTGGGGGTACGATTTGGATTTTGACCCATGGCCAAATTTCCCCGCCTTTCCAACTGCCTGCCGCCCCTTTCCGGGCCCAGACATCTTTCAATGTTGTGATTTCCGTGTATGGGAAAAGAAATGTACACAGCAGACGTCTATGTCATTGTTTGGATGTGTGATGGTTTCGAATTGGTTTAACATTGGTTTAGTACTTGCTTGTTTGCTGACGACTGGAGTTGGGGCGGCGGTAAACTTGCTGGTTTAGACTTGTTTTAGTATTGGCATAGCATTGGCAAACTCTAACTCTTGTATTGGGAGATTTTGGGCTCAGGGCAAAAGTCGTATTTATCGAAAGGCACATTTATCAAGGGGAACGGATGAAGCCAGTCTCCTTTGGTTTTTCCTTAGGTGACGCTTTGGGAGTGGTTATGCACCACTTAAAGGGGCCGGGGACTTAGCTAATGATTAGTAAGTCTGGCTACAACCCACTCAGTAGACTTACAACCATAGCATTTGTGGCTTATACCCAGGCTTACTAACCACTCACGTGCCGGGTCGCCCCTCCAGGCTCTACGGCTGCTGGGGCAGCTGCGAGACCAGCGGCTGGAGGCCAGCTGTGCCTTGGCCAACGCCGCCGTGGACGCCTGCGCCAAGCGCGGCTGGTGGGAGATGGCCTGCGCTTTGCTCGGGGAAATCCAGGCGGAGGCGCTGGAGATCGAGGCTTAGCGAAGAAAGAAAGCGACCGGTACCACTCGAACGTCGGATGCCGGGGAAACGAGTCCTTGGTGGAAGTTGAAATCTCAGGAGGTGTTTGTTTTATCCCCCCTCCCCTGTTTTGTTTCTGTGATTTGGACCGGCTTTTTCAGGCCGAGGATGTGTTTCCTCCAAAGGTGAAAAGGGATTTTTACCCACCTCGGATCAAGACACCCGCCCTATTAATAAGGGGTTCCCCCCCCCCCAAAGTGATGAGATTACACTGAAAGGGGACCCCCCTAGTACACCAGCGGTTTGTTAGTCCTGGGTTCTGATGAAGCGTCTTTGTTCTCGTTCTGCATGCCTTTCAGCTTCGAGCGGAGTCGCTCTGCGTTGGAGAGACTGAGGGAGAGAGAAGCCAGGGTCCTAATCTCGCTGGTTCTCAGCGGGGGTCCCTGAGGAAATGACCCCCATACACCATCCAACTGGTGGTGTCCATTTTTTTTTTCGGGCACCAAAGCCTGGGATCTGTCAACCACATTCACGACTTAAAGGGGCGAGCGGGTACTTACTAGTTGGTTTAGTAGGCCTGGATGTTTAACCCAGTTAGACTTGGAACCATGCTTTCTCGCAGCAACATTCCCTACTTCTCGCAGCGAATCCAGAGTCAGAGGATGGGATCACCTACAACTCAGCCATCAGCGCCTTTACGAAGAGCGGCCGCTGGCGGGAGGCCGTTGCCCTCTTCGAAGAGTGCCGCGCCGCGGGCATCCAGGCGAGTGGCGAGTGCGCGTCCGGGTCAAGTCCAGGGAAAAAAAATGGCACCCGGCCTTCACAAACATGGCAACTCTGGATGGATGAAGTCCATTTCGCACCACGAATGAAACCATGGGAAACCATTGGCATTTACAGGGGAGTCGAATAGTTCCAGGGTTTCTTAGGTGGTGCAGGATTTCGTTCCACGGTAGCACCTGTGGCAGGGTACCTGGAAGATCAGCTTTCTCTGAAAGGAACCACCTGTGAGGTGCTATGGCAACGTGGGAGGGAATCAAGAGATACAAAAGTACGAAGAGCTGACTCCAAGGTCCAACAGTCATGACTGAAGCCAGTTTCAAAGCCCGCAACCGAATTCTGATTATGAAGTCGCTTATCACCTTGCGTTCCACCCTAGCTTTTTTCTGTGAAATGTTGCTTGCTGCGCCGCGCAGGAGACAGTCGTCTCATGCGGCGCGGTAGCCAGTGCATGCGAGGAGGGTGAGCATTGGCAGGCTGCGCTGCAAGTGATGCGTTGCAGGCGGATCACGGCCAGTCTGATTGCGCCTGGGTGCGAAACAGTTATGGTCCAAGAAACGGGGGGGTGTTCCCTAAGGCTCCCTAAGGAACCCCCAGCAACCCTAGAGCTCTCAACTACCCGCCCCGCCTTGTACCTAACCCGCAACTTCACTCCAACCCCACTCCAATTAACCAGTCACTCCAACTCCACCCCACTCCTCCCCAACTCCCCCCCGATTCCATGAAATTACACAGTCTGGGACCGGCACCTCAGTGGACTCAGGCGAAAACGCGCGCAGCCTCATAGCCTCCATCAGGCCCTAGTGGGGACTACCTCCGGGTAGCCACAAACAACGGACATAAACGCCACCATAAGTTGTGACTTTCCAGAAAGGAAACCAACAGTGGATGGGAACTTCGGAATGGTGAAAGTAATGGGTAATTTCTGAATTTCGCAAGGACATCCAACGAGGCTGAACAATTTCTGAGTTGTCTCAAATGAAATCCCAAGGACACGAGTAGCTTCTGAACGTTTCCAAAAGGAAACCCAAAGAAAAGGGGCAACTTCTGAATTTTCGCACAAGAAAACTCAAAGAGGATGGGAAGTTTCTGAAGCTTCACATAAGGAAGCCCAAAGGCGATGCGTACTTTCTGAAGTCTCCCAAAACGAACACCCACAGGCAATGGGCAATGCCTAACTTTCCCAACCGGCGCAGATGGATAATGTGTGGATGTTTTTGAAACGGAAGCCTAAACCAGAGTGGTAATTTCTGAATTTTCCCAATGGAAGCCAACATAACTGCCTTGTCCCAAAGGAAGCCCGAAGGGGATGGGTAATCTCTGAGTTTTGCCAAAAGGAGACCTAAGAAAAAGGTATAACTTCTGCATTTTCCAAAAAGGAAGACCAAAGCAAATTTGTAATTTCTGAATGACTGAACATTATCCTTTCAAGGCGGCGCGGTTGTACCGAATCCTGCGAAAATGACGCCCTTTGGCCGGGATCGGCATGGTCGATGTCGAGAAATAGTTGATCTATGGTCGATGTGCAAAACTGAAAACTTGTTCGGTTTTTTCATGTGCATGCGCGACCCTCTGCGCGGATTGGCGTGGTCGACGTGCAACAACTGAGGACTTTTGCTGCTGGTTGACTTGCGCGCGCGACCCTCTGCGGGAAGGGAGGGTGGTCGACGTTCAAGAACTCTATAGTGCAACTGCAGTGGTGGCACTTGCGTGCGAAGCACGGCCTACTGCATTGAGAGCGACGCACACGACAAACCTGCACAGGGCCACTTGCAGAGATACAGTCGCGCAGAGAGCTTGCATAGAGAAACTTGCACTGCATCGAGAACTTGCACAGATAATTTTGGCCCGAGAACTTGTGCAAATAAGCTTGCACAGAGAACTTGCGTAGAGCGCTTGCAGGAGATAAATTGGGCCAAGAACTTGGGAAAAGAAACTTGCGCAGACAACTTTGAGGCGAGAACTTGCGCAGAGAAACTTGCACAGAGAACTTGCTCAGATAAATTTCCTGACCACTGGCGATGAGACGCTTGCAGAAAGAACGTGCGCAGAGACTGCACGCGCAGAGGCGCAGAGAACATGCTGCGCTCACTAGTTGTGCGCGACGTTTCCGGGCCGCCGGTTCGTGCCACCCAGGTGCACAACGCGCTGGCCGGCGCCTGCGCGCGCAGTGGCCGCTGGCGAAGCACTTTCGCTGGCCTAGAGGAGCTGCAGGTGGAAGGTCTCAGCATGTCCGAGGTCACCTACAATGCAGCTTTACTGCTGGTTTACAACCGAGTGTTAGTGAGCGTTCTGCGTTGGAGTTTATTTCTTGGTCTGTTGTTTGTCTATATGTTCTTGGTATGGACGTTCTTGGTGTGTGTGTGTGTGTTTGCGCATTCGTTGTTTTTCCGTTCTTTTTTTTGAGGGGGGGAGGGGCTCTGGCATGAGTAAGTCAAAGTCCTTTCACCTCAGAATGGGCAGTGCCTGGTACATGTTTAGTATTTCTGTTTTTTGGGTTCTGTTCATTTTTAGTGGCCTACAAAGAGACAGGTTTGTTGCTCACCCGGGCAAGGCAGCGATCAGCGCTTGTGAGAAAGCCGGGCAATGGCAACGGGGTTTGTTTCTCACGGGCGCGCTGTTTGAGTCGCTCCTGCGTTTGGACGTCATCACCTGCAATGCGGCGGTGCTGGCGTGTGCTGGGGCGAGCCACTGGCGGCAAGTGCTGCTGCTGATGCGGGCGATCGCCGGCGGCGACCTCGCGCCGGACGCGCTCACATACGTGGCGGCCAGTGGTTCCTGCGAAAGGTCCTGGAAGGTGAAGGAATTGTTGCGGCTGCTTGATGCCATGCAGCAATCGGTTTGCCAGAAAAGGCGTTGCGCGCATGCGTGAAAGGAATGACTTGACTATGACCAATGATGCGTTCACGGGCGGCTCAGAGTTTGGTAGGGCAAGGCCCCTTGCCGCGGGAGTTCAGAAGTCCCTGTCAGCCTGCAGGCAAAAATCGGTTTGAATTGGCAACTACAAATGCTCACTTTCAAACCATCGGCATGTGGTTACTTCTTGCCTTCTTGTAGTTTCACTGTCTATGTGACTGGATGGCTCTTCAAGGGATTGCCAGCACGGTAGCGACGCAGCGTTTGTTTTTCAGAAGCACTTGAACCGCTTGCCAACACATCATTCGAACTGTGGCATGATCCCGCTTCCGCATTTGCAGTCCCAAGTGCTTGCTTGAAGGAGATCACCACATTCAGTGGCCCAATGGTAGCTACGGAGCCAACCATCTACCCTTTTTTGTCAGCGAGGGGGAAGTGTGGATGAACATGCGCCAATCACATGGAGAACAAAATCGCTTGATGGTTCCAAAAAGCCCAACGCGACGTGTTTCCCTGGGATCACCCATGTCACGCATCGAATGACCCCACATCGGCAAATGCAAACAACTCCGAGAAGGGTCCCCTTTCTGATCGGCAGAGGTTTCGGACAGATGCGTTGCAAGACATTTGAACGCAACCACATGCGAAACGGAGACATGTGGCTACATACTAGGCTCATAAGTTCCCGCGAGTCCGACAAGTCTTTCTCAATAACAAATAAGTTCTCCGAAAGCTGTTGTGTTCGCCCTGTAGCCAACGGCCCCAAAAAGCTCAAAAGTTTCGGGTTTCACATGTCGGCTCCAGAGGTTTTTTCGACCCTTTTCCTCCGAAGTTCCATCTACCAGATCTCGCCACAGCTGAGGAGCTGTTGCTACACCTCCGCTGACAGCGCTGGCGAGGATTCCCTCCAGAGGATTCCCTTGGGACGCAGCTCCCGGCGTGGCTGGCGCCTGGGACATGGCAGGGGCTAAAGACATATGTGTCCTTTTTAGGTTAGTTCGATTAAGAATAGATTGCACTGGTTTAGGGGTTTCTTCCATTTACCATGGAAACCAATCTATTTTGCCAAAAGGCCACTGGCTAAAGAGGGTTCCTCCAAGCGCTTGGCATTTTCAAAAGGGATTTTGGAACAGAAGGAGCCCATAGGCTTCAAAGACATAAAAGGACGCACCCGATGACCAAGTTCCCATCCGGCCCTGACTGTGAGACCGCCCATAACTCCTCTTACAATGCCTCTGAATCACTGCGCTGATTCAGAGGCATGGTAAGAGGAGTCATGGGTGGTCCCACATATTCGTACTTAGTGGACCCTCAGTTGATGCAACAAGTTGTGCTCGAATCATTGTTAGCCAAAAATGCGTCCGAATCGTTCACAGACGAGCAAC